CTGTGGTGTTTCCTCAGGACAGGAGAGGGGCTGTGTTGCGTGGAGGTGGCACCAAAGACAGCTCTGATTGGGTCACTGCTGCGCTTGCACTGCTTCTTGTAAGGCTTCTCCTCTGCTGGTTCAGGTGGTTCCTGCTGTAGCAACTCCCGTAACATGCAACTCAAATCGCGAGCTACAACAGTGTGAAGGGAGTTCCATTACAGGTTCCATCCCTGGTCCCTTTGGACCAGACCATGGAATTAACATTGCTATCAACTCCTCCTCTCGGCCCTGCTCTGCCTTGGACTTGCGCACAGCCTGCAGTCCCTTAGGGCTGTACCTGCTTCAAGTGGAGCCTTATTGATGCACCACAGTCTCTCCAGGGCTGTACCTGCTGCGGCATGGACTTATCCGCAGGCGCAGTCACTTTGAGGGGCACCTGTACCAGCGTGGCCTTCTCCAGGGGCAATGATGCCTCTGAGATAGACCCTGCTCCACCATGTCCTCACCCATGGCTGCAATCCCTCCAGGGGTGCACCCACTCTGGTATGGGCTTATCCATGGCTGCACACTTTGAGGTGCCCCAGCATGAGCTCATGCACAGCCATCGGCACTTTTTTGAGGTGGCCCTGCTGCAGCATGGACTTCTCCACAGCCACAGATGCTTTGAGCAAGCAGCAGCCGCTAACGAGTACTGGACTCTCCTCTAGAGAGAGGCAAGCAAGCCCCGGGGCAAGCACCAGAGCCTGCCGATGATGAGCTCAAGAGAAATAACAGCTATAAATTTGATCTGGTAGATGCCAATTCGCTGTGCAATTCAGTCACTCACCATGCATCAGGGTGACACATCAGGATGACAAACTCCATCACGCCATCCAAGGCCCATGCCTGCTTCTTCTTCCCCCAGCTTTAATATGCTGAGCATGATGTCATACGGTGTGGAATATCGCTCTGGACAGTGGGGGTCAGCTGTCCTGGCTGCGTCCCCTCCCAGCTTCTTGTGTCCCTCAGCCTGCTCGATGCTGGGGTGGGGGAGGAGCAGAAAAGGCCTTGGCTCCGTGTAAACGCTGCTCAGCATGAAGGAAAGCACCTGCACCGTTTCCAGCACCAATCCACATAATTGGAGGGTTAGGAGGAGTCCCCCACCAGTGGCCAGGAGGAGGGAAGAAGAGATGGAAGCCTTGCAAGAGCAAGCAGCAAGCATGTTCCTGTGAGAGGCATAGCGGGGGGCGGGAGGGGGTTTGATGGGGTCAGGCATGAGAAAGGAATGAAGGAATTCCTGAGAAGCTCCCCAAAGCATCGCTTTCCCCCCCTAACCTCATCCCCTCTTTGTGCGGGTGTGACTCTCCAGCCCTCCTCTTGCCCTTGAACTCTGCCTGAAGCCATTGCTCTGTCCCACAGCTGCCCAGCAAGCTGCAACTCTGTGTTGAGGCCATAGCGCAGAGTGCTCCCGTGATCTTGGTGGGCTTTCAATAACAAAGCTGTTTCCGTGGTCAGTCCAACGGGAAGGGGCTGTGCACCTCTTCTAGGAGTCTGGGTCATCTGCAGAGCGTGGCTCGCGAGGGACAAAAGGAGGAGGTGTGGGGGAAGGCATTTGGTGCACAGCAGGCTTTCCTTGCCAAAATGCGGTAGGATGAGAATGCCTGTCCCTGTCTGGAGCACGGGGTGTCCCCACCTCGTTATGCAGCTGGTCTTACATTCTACTCCGCAGGCTGTGCTTGCTGTCAGCAATGGCATCTGAAATCCACATGCCGGTGCCTGTCTGCCTCATCGAGAACACCCCGGAGAAGGGGCTGGTGGTCCAGCCAGAGGCCCTGCGGGTGCTGTCCAAGGTCACCCAGCCTGTGGTGGTGGTGGCCATCACGGGGCCGTACCGCACTGGCAAGTCCTACCTCATGAACAGGCTGGCTCGTCAGAGGAAAGGTGAGGGAGATCCCAGCCCGCGGTGGCCAAGGTACCTGGGCTTGCCTCCCTTGCCTTTAACAGCGGTGAGACCCTTGCGTCCTCCCAACAGGTTTCTCCTTGGGCTCCAGTGTGCAGTCCCACACCAAAGGGATCTGGATGTGGTGTGTACCTCACCCCCGCCGGCCTGGACACGCTCTGCTGCTGCTGGACACTGAAGGGCTGGGCGACGTGGGGAAGGTGGGGAAGGAGCGGGAGCTCCCTTTGTGCATTCCCAGCCCTTTGGGAAGCTCTTGAGGGGCCCTCAAGTACCAGGGACCAGAGTCTTGGTGTTCGCAGCGCCCACGGTGGCCTTCTGTCTGCGTGCTGGGAAGAGGCAGAGGCCGTGGGGCAGGAGGTCGGGGTAGGCAAGTTGCCTGAATCGTCCGCTTTCCTGGGCAAGATCAGTGGAAGGGGAATGAGGAGCTGAGGGAGCGCTTTGCGAGATCCTGGGAGGTCAGCGTGGAGGCTAAGCCCAGCTCCAGAAAGAGACGGTGATGGCTTGGGGGTGGGTCTCTCCAAAACCTGGTCTTGCCGTGGGCTGTTGGTTCGGGACATTCAGGGTCTGGGGCTTTGGGGCTTTGCTCTTCCTTAGGGGGTCCTGTGGATAAGAGCCAGGGATTGTTGTTCCAGGGCGACACCAGGAACGACACCTGGATCTTTACACTGGCCGTGCTGCTCTCCAGCACCCTGATCTACAACAGCAAAGGCACCATTGACCAGCAAGCCATGGAGCAGCTGCAGTATCCTTGGTGGGAGAGCAGCATAGGGGGTGCCCTCCTCTCCTTGCGTGGTGCGCAAGGGGTCGAGCCATCCCGGTTCCTCCGGCAGTTGCAGAACCTTCTGGGGGTGCCCAGTGACATGCTCTGAGTCCTTGAGCGTGCTACACGGTGGAGCTCAGGGCTGAGGGTCTTTCTCCCTCCTCCTTCTGGGGGTTCCAGCCTGTTCTCTGTCCCTGCAGAGTCTCCTCATGTCCTCATGAAGGGCTGCAAGGTTGCAGGGTGGTGACACCCCTGCATTCATTGCTGAGGTCCCTGTTTCCTTAGCCAGCTCCCTAGCTATGTGCTGAAGCTGTCGGAGCGCGTCCAGCTGAAAGCAGGACCCAAGGAGGGAGAACTGAAAGACTCAGAAAAATTTGTCAGCTTCTTCCCGACTTTTGTCTGGGCTGTCCGGGATTTCACACTGCAGCTGGAGGTGGACGGGAAGGAAATCTCTGAGGATGAATACCTGGAGAACGCGCTGAAGTTAAAGGCTGGTGAGGGAATGGTGCTGTGCTGCTGGAGAGGCCCAGCCCCAGCCCCAGCAGCATTTCCCTGCCCT